ATAAAAATTAAATATAAAATAATATATATATATATATATATATATTTGAAGTTCAAAAGAATTTTACCAAAGGAGAAGAGTCCCGAGATATTAGAACAGGCCGCTAGACGCCCGAGCAGGTTTAGATCTGCCAGTAACTACAGTATAGTGATAGGATTGAGGGAGGTGAAAGCAACAGAATGGTCATCCCAACGCAGAATCAATAGCTACTGTACTGTGTTGTAGAACCCAATTTTCGCATATGCTTGGCCATTGGCCAATGATTCGAACCCACATAACTAAAAAGTTTATAACATCATCCCACTCGGGTCAAGCAAAGTTACCAAGCGCAAGTCTGCAAGAACTGTAGGTTTTGACTACGAATCTAAAAGCTTTGCAAAAGAAATGCTTCCCTTGTATCCGGAAAACTGTAATTGTGCACAAGATGGCTCGAAAGTCGTGAATAGCTGGTTGAAGTCGTATTGTTATTCTTTCTCAAAAGCATTACCATGTGTAAATACATTTTACAAGGGGGAAAGGATGAGATAACTGTTTATCAAATATATAAAATTAAATGAGCTTCTTTTTCTGGAAAAAGGTCTTCAAGTGCCACACCTGCAAGCCCGCCACTGATAAACATACAATAATCGAAAGAAAACTCAACCAGGCCATCTTTACATTAGTAGATGTGTTCAGATCTTGCATTTCGTTTTCTCTGCAACAAACATCAAGCACGTTAGAAAGTGTTTGATGTCCAGATAAACTACAATCCTGCAAGAAATAGCATATTTAAGCTTATTAGCTCTCATAATTGTTGGAGAAAACAGATAAATCTTCACCTTTCACGGAGATAATTCATCTCCTCTTGAATGGAAATGACTGTGTCATACATTTTCTTCAGCTCCATTTCCATAACCTGGTGTTTAAGATTGATGCAAACGGATAAGAATCTTTCATTGTTTCAAGCCAGGCACTTTCAAATATAAAACTAACGTGGAATTGGTAAAACAACACAACACACAATAGGCGTCAATGATTTTACAGGAGAGTACTGTTATAAAACAATAGACAACAAGTGCTGGAGACTGTCTTTGTATAAGTCTGCAAATCACTACTTATGGATGCTAAGCAGCTGCAAACAGCAAATCACTGATAGTCTAACTCAAAGCTGAGAGCTAAAGCGTGGAAGATTCCATGGTTTCAGAAGAAAAACAGCATGCCTCTCGCTTCTAGGTTAAGATCATCTTCCATCGCCAGTTTTTTCTCCTCATAGAACCCCTTTTATGAAATTTAGATGCTATGCTATAGGTTAGATAACCCTTAAAAATGAGAATACAAAACGGGAAAGAGTCTTCAACTTCAAACCCCAGGGAAAGGATGAAAGGGTGCTTGAAATTCAGCTATTAGAGGTGGCAAGGATTGCATTTGGGGCAAGGGATACAAAAAGCGCAAGCTCGGCTTATAGAAGAAGGTATCAGTAACAACAGGTTTTATTACAGGGCATGTATCCTTTTCTTTTTTCAGCTAATTCACAAGGTTTGCAGCTTTCAACTTGCTGAACTAAAAGACAATTTCTATGGCGCATCCTCTTAGACAATCCCTCCAAGACCTTTTTTTAAAACTGTAATTCCCGCTCCTCATGTGTTACTATAAATAATAATCTCTGATCTGACACATAAATTCTCAGTTAACCATGCCATTCCTGAATACGTCATAGTTTTTTGATAAGCCATCCTAAACACATCATTTGAAGCTAGTATTGCTCTTAGTAGCCTAGTTGCTATCACATGAGAATCCAATGCAAGTTTCCTACAACGCTCAGTTTTACACTGCTTACGAAAATGACAGGCAGCCATGTCAGGGTTATGCAAATCAAACAGCTACCATAGACTGGTTCTACGGATAAAGCCCAACTTTTCTGCTACAGTTAATTATTTCTTTGCTATCGTTAATTCTTTCTTACATCTATGTGGATCAGAGCTACAGCTATGTGGCTCTGTAGATTAGGTTCCTTAGCCGCCTAAAACGACATCTATTTATTCTTAGACATCATCTTACAGTAGGCGATCACAATCCATATGATAACCTTCAATAAGAACTAAAATAGGAGAATTTCCCCTGATCTATCCGCTAAACCCAGCTGCATTCTAGCCTTGAACTCAACATCTTTGTCCCCTTCAATATAGCACACCTAATACTTAATCATAGTATATGATAATTAAGAATATTGACACAAAAACCAAATAAAAACAGCCTCAAATTCAGACATTAAAATCAGGGCAAAAAATAGATGGGTTAATAAATAAAGCAAGTTGACTTACATCCACAGAGCCTTTCTTGGCAACATTAGACCAATCCTTAGCAGCCACACCAGTCTTCCAGTCAAAATCAACAGTCAAAATCACAGTTGGCTTATGATCCGCCGCCCAAAAACACGTCATGTAATCCCCTGCTTCCGCCGCCGTGAAAGCAAACTGCCCTGATTCCACACGCTCTGAATAATGATAACTATTCCCATAACTTGATGTCACCTAAGAAAAACACAAATTACAAACTTTAAAATAGCCAAAAAAGAAGTCGAGAAGAGAAATCATGGGTCTATTTCAATATCTTACCCTGACAGTGAGTTTATGTGATTCGGGCAAGGGCTGGCTATCATGGGGGTTAACAATGCTGTACTTTCCAACAGTCATAGAATTGCTTTTGATGTCTTCTGCTATGCATTTCGTGTGTCCTGACTCTAGCTCGAAACGGAGTGATCTTGATGGAGATGATAAAACCCCAATTACAGTAATTATTACAAGGAGATAGAGGTTGAGTCTTGGGGTAATCATGGTGGTGGATTAAGAGCTGAGTCCTTTTCTTCTTCTTTCTTTCGTTTGTTGAGAGTTTCAGTTTTTGGTTTTAGAGTTGTTTTTTCGGTTTACGTTTGTCGTTTTGAAATGAATGGGGACCCGTTTTGCTAATAGGAGGAGGAGGAGGAGGTCAGACCAGCAATTGAATTATTGACAGCTGGTAGTATTTGATTGGTAGGGACACGTATTTTTTTTTTAAAAAAAGATACAGAGTTGTCTAGTTTAGTTAAGTACACTGAGAGGATATACAGAGTGTATAGTGTGATGATAATTGTTTTTTAAAAACTATTTATAAAATATATTAAAATAATATTTTTTATTTTTTCAAATATTTTTAATATTCAAATATTAAATAATTTAAAAACATAAAAAATAATTTTAAAGAAAAAAATTAAAATTTTAAAAAATATAATTTCAATTGTATTTTTTAACACAGTTTTAAATATGATATACACTACACTATATATCATATTATTATTAATTTTTCAGAAAATAAGTTGAATGCTGAGGTGTTTAAAAAAAATAACTACAAACCTTTTTAACTAGATATTAAATAAATTAGAATTGAATGATGAAATTAAAAATTAAAAAAACTAATTAAAATGTCAAAAAATAAATATTAGAGTTGAACCATCTATTACCAAGAGTAAATCTCTAAAATTTTGAATAACCAACATGATTTTTGATGGGAGGAGGAAAAAAAACTAACAAACAACAACTCATCGAAATTAAAAAAATAAAAATAAAAATAAAATGTGAAAAAAATAAATATTGAAGTTGAACCATTTATTACCAAAAGTAAAACTTTAAAATTTTGAATAATGAACATGATTTTTGATTGAAGGAGGAGAAAAAGTTAACCAACAACAACTCATCCTATAACTATTGTCACGCGTCACTATAGAAGAAAGAAAACATTATCAAACGACATATGATAAAGGGGTGATTACAGTCGCTGCGAGGCTACACCTGCATTGCCAAAGGTTGTGGATACCTGAAACTCTCCAACAATTTTTTTTATTTAAATAATATTTTATGTTGGTTGGAAGACTTGATTGTCCTCAACGGACATGGTAATAACATGAAAAAACATAATGAAAAGACTAAAAAACCATGAACACTGCCTTGCTTTCCTGCTTTCCAGGGGTAAATAAGACATATTAATTGTGCTTGGAGATATAAAGAGACAACAAAAAAAAAAAAAAAGGGTTCTTAGATGCAGGCTTTAAAACATCTTGGTTTTAATGGCATTTTAATATTTTTACAGTGCTTGAAAATAGAGAATATACACTCGCCCGTGATCAATTTTCTAATGGCTAATG